CCAGGCCTTGACAACATCACCACTATGAAAACATGATGCCTGGCTGTATGCTGACAAGCTGTTGAAAAATTTGAAGATATTTATTTGAATGTCATTCCCTAGAGTATTATTTCCTTGTTTCATGATTTGAAACAAAAGACATGCTTAACGATACAACTCAAACAAAGAATCTTATCCTCACGAGAATGACACATGGTCTGGATTGGAAAACATTAGGCCAAATTAGTTAGAGGTCTATAAATTTGTTTTTCTTCATAAAAAGCACTATTTCAGCAAACCAAGTGTACTATACTTTGCCGAAAGAGCTACTAAATGCTTATATAAATCAAGTTGATACTTCATTTTGTGCTGGCATCTGCTCTCAATGAATATAGTAGTAAAGCTAATGGACTAATTTGACAATACAGTGGCCATCTTGGATTGCAAGGCATTCTGGGACATTCAGGGGGATCGAAGATGATTTGAGAAGGTATATAATAATGATACTTTTTTAAATGCTGCAAATTCAACTTGGAATTTAAAATGTGCCTTCGATATATCAATCACCTTTACCTATAAAAAGGGTAAACACATGAAACTTTATATTTTCCATCATATTTGTTTCGTTTTGCCCCTTGGCAAGATGGCTGCCATATCATCAAAGTGGACCATTTAGAATGGATACATTTTTATATTCTATAACATAGCTAATAGTTTAACTTACTTGTCTGTCATACATCTGCTGGCAATAGCTTGATGTAATGTAGTATCATCACAATCTAATGATGACACATACCAATACTTGTCATCAAGCTGTTGAAAGAGTGAAAGAGATCAGTTTAGAAACCTGAATCAATTATAGATATTTGTTGAAATGATTATATTATTAGCAGATACTAGTTTAGGCTACATTGTATAAATGTTCTATAATSCATGTCAATCCTTCAGTCCTGTAAGTTTACTGGTCAGCAGTAGACCATGTTGTACAGTGGGAACCCTGTGGTTGTCTGACATCTACCATGTTGGTTTTGAGAAATAAAAGCCCATAGAGTGCCTCAACAAAGCATTGTATAACTAACTTATGTATGAATTCGTTCCCCAGAGTAAAATACATACCTGATGATTAGTAATAAACTGCTGCTTGGGATATGAACAACACTTTTGTGGTAACAAGGTAAGTCTTTACTGTAGGTCACAGGGTCATCACCGGGTTGATACTCAGGTCAACACCCATACAGCAACAAGTAAGTCCATATTGTTATGAAGGTCACAGGGTCATCAACAGTTCAATACTCATAGACAACACTGTTATTAAGTGTTTTTGCTTCTTGTTTTAGTGCAGTAAATCCATTATTACCAGATTAATACTGAAGTATTCCATTATATATTGGTTAGAGTCAAGATGCAGTATGGTAGTGAGGTTCAGATGTCAGGTATCGGCAGCCATCTTGTTACAGATCACTGGACAGTTTTATGGAGAGTTTTACGTGTAAGTTATACTTTTAAATCTGCAATACAAAGAAAGATAAGTCATTAGGACATTAATATTTAGAATTTTTATGCTTTTAACGAGGGAGAGAGGGTCTTAAAGTTGCGATAAAAACCAAAGTTTCAAAATATTAAAAAAAAATTAAAATACACTCAAACTAAGTTTAGAAACTATTTAAAAGGTTCCAAAAATTACATATTTGTGGCAAATTTAATTGTATTTTGCCAGAAAAAGTGAAATTCTTAGAGTTCAAAGCCAACACGTGTCATGGCGTACAATCGAACATTCGAAGTCTTTAAACCGGTTAAAAATACGGAAAAACGCAAAAATAACGCAGAAAAACAGAAGAATTCTTACCTTTCATAGTTCTCGTGTCCTTGCCTCTCTGTTAGATGGAGCACGAGCGAATAATTTTTTTTGTCCTAGTAAAAACTCTTCTTTATATTTCCACAGATTGACACACGTTGAACCGCGAAGGAAGCAAGATCCAAATGCCACAAGTCACACCAAGAGACTGGATACTAGCATTTTACACAGGGATCCCACAAAAAAACTTATTTTTTCATCAAGATTTCGGCAATTTTCTAGCAATATTCTTAGCCTAAATCGTAAAATATCTCTAGAAGATACTATTTTAGCACTTTACGCAGCATAAAAACCTGGAAAAACTCCTTTTTTAGGGCAAAAACGCCATTATGGTAATTAGTCACGTGACTAGTCACGTGACCTTAAAATTTTTTTTTTCCGGTGTGATTTTTTAATTTTTTGTGACAAAATTTTTTTCGTGGGTTCGAAGTAATTCTCTTTGTGTTTAATTCATCAGATCACGCGGTTAATAATAAAAGAATATTTGAATATATTGTGACTTTTATTGTCTGACCCATGAAAACAGAAAACAAAAAAATAATATAAAACAACAGCTGAAAAGTACTCTTAAATATCTAGACTCCACCCGACCAAGAATGAAATATACCCAGAGACAAAGAGGAACAAACAAAGATTTCAAGACGCATGAAGCGCCAACATTTTTTTATTGCACTTTGATAAGTTATCAACTTTATTAACTTATGCGTCTTCGCCACTTCGCGCGCCTGTATTGATTTTAAGTCCCTTTAACACAATGAAACTAAAAGCTAAAACTTGTGAACAACTTTTGGTTCTTATATACTCGTGCCGGCAACGAAACTTCGCGAGCAAGTTTCACTATGAAATTGTGCCGTGCTACGCCCCCTTGAATCTTGTCTCTCAACGACGTTGAACACAAGTTTAACTTAAAGTTACAGCGTGTAAAATAGGGGCTTTAGTTCTTGAAGCAAAATTGCACAGAGCAACCGTTTGATACTACTAAATTATGCGCATTAATTTTTTCTCCTTTATTTCAGTTTGAATAAGCGTTTTGAAGCGTGCAATAAAACATTTACCCGAGGGAATAACGCGTGACTACRCAACGCCCAAAGTAAAAAAATATGACGTCATTTTTGGGTGAATACAGTAGAAACCCGTGGATGTGTTACTTCTGTTTTGGAGAGAAAAGGACCCGAAAGAATGTCTGCGAGCGCTCCGTGTTTTTATAGTCACGTTCTCTGCGAACATCCTTTATTTCTTTCATAGAACCAGCATTCTTTCTTATGAGACGAAAGAAGTAAGCATTAAAGAATCTAGCACTTTGTTAAGTGCCTTTATTGTTCATTTGTCAATCCTTTGAGTATTACTTCTTTGTTTCTTGGCGACGGTCAGGGTGTTGATGGGTCATTGTCCAGTTACTCTCACGATTATCCTGAAAACGAGCAGAACATGAAAATACAAAAGAAATCACGTCAATTCTCATAGGAATGTACGGTATTTCTTTTCTTTTTTGTTTTTTCCTGTTAGACTCGCATTCAAGATAATTCTGAAAGCCGCCTAAAGCCTCCA